ATCTATCTATCTATCTATCTATCTATCTATCTATCTATCTATCTATCTCTGATCCCTGGTTTTTCCCAGCAAAACTCATGTCTTCTTTCCGGTTATCATTTCCCTCTGGAATACCATCAGGGGAAATCTCTGGCATAGTTTACGCTCCAGGCCCCGACTCTTACTCAGGGAGCCATAGGGAGGGTCCCACTGTGTGGAATTGGGACTCTCTTTTCCAGGAGACCCGAAGTATCAAGCCCACTTTCTATGAGGTCACAGTAACAGAAATCTTGGAACTCTGACGGCAGTTCCCCCTCCCCCACCTTAACGTTCCAGAGAACCAGAGAGGGTCCCTCCTGGGATCCCTCCTCATCCCTCCCTCCCTCCTGGGCTGCGGCTCTTCCTCCTGTCTCCAAGGTTCTTCTCCCAGCCCATCGCATCCCCACCGCTCCTCTTTAGAAGCCTCTGCTTGACTCCCTCCCTTTTCCAGCCCTTTCTGTGCAGCTACCAGCCTTCTAATTCTTCCCTTGACTGCTCTCTATTTTCCTTCCCTGGCTTGTTTTCTGCGTTCATGTTGGGCCCTCCCATTTCCCCCGTGCATGCTCACACCTTCTCCCCAACGCTTCTCTTGCTCCACAGCATTTGCCACCTTGCCTCAACAAGCCATGTCCTCCTCTCTCTCCTCCCATTGTTGTCCTCCCCCCAATGGCCAGCAGAATCCCCTCCCTTCACACACACAACAGCCACAGCTTTTAATGCATTTCAACCGTGGTCCTGCTGTGTTACGGTAGCAAATGCGGCATCTGGGACAATGGTGCTGATTTGCAAGTATCCAAGCTATTTGGTAGGCCCACGGTTGGCCCCCAACGAGCAGCTCCCAAAGCGCACCGCCTTCCAGGACGCTCACCTGTTTTGCCCGCTTCCTGGCATCATCTAGAGCCCGCCCCCGTTCAACTGACCGCTGGACAACCTTCTCCCAGCGAGACTGCACGCTGACCAGGAGATTCTTGATCAGGACCACATCCTGCTTCTGGCTCAGGAACTTCAGCTGGTTTCCGCTTTGGTCCAGCGCAATGATCTGATGCCGGTGGGCGTTTACTTCATTCGCAAAACCCTGCCGGGGGTGGGTGGGGGAGAAGCAAAAGACAAATCCCTTTGGAACCCTGGCCTGGAAGAAGCCTGCAGGCGAGGCTGAAACCCCACCCCAAGGCCCCCTGGCTGAGGCACTTCAGGGCTGCTCTGAGCCTTTTGCCAAGAGGAAGGTGTGTGTGGGGGGCCACTGGGACGCCCTTACCTTGTGCTCTTCCACTTGGGAGAGCACAGTGCTATGGATGAGGCTCGGAGGAGAAGCAACGTTCAGACTCTGCTCCGCAAGGGTCAGCCAGTTGATGAAGTCCTGCAGGGAATTCTGGAATTCGGTCGCCAAGTTGAGTGCCTCTTCCAGCTTGGACTAAACAGGGGACAAGGCCGAGGAGTGAGGAAAGGAGGCAGGAAAAATGGGGCACCTGACAAATCTCACAGCGGTTGACCTTTTGCCTACCCCTGCTCCAAGGGAGAAGCCAGAATTTCAGTCACGTTCTCAGTGGGGAGAAGGCCTTCCCCTTTCACCCCCCGCCCCCCCCCCCCAGTGAAGAACGCTGGAGAGAATCCAAATAGCCTACAGAAACTTTTCTATGGCAGAAAACGGCTGCAGCCCTTTGCAGCTTCCCGAAAGGAGAGGGGTCATTTATGAGCTTTGAGAAGTCCCTGCATGCCACTTGTACACCCCACTGGACTAGGCCCAATCCTGCTGCCCGTATTCACTCCGGCCCAAAGACAACCAGGCGTCTGTGCAGGGACAAGGGAACGGCAAGGCTGCGCCTTCCAAGGGATTCAGGCTGCTTCCCAAGGCTGAACTCACACTGATGACGCCTCCTTCCGCAATCGCAGATCCCTGCTTCTCCCTCCCAGCCCCATCTCCCGCCTCTTTTGTTCCACTCTAGTTCAACACTTCCTCTGTGAACTCTATGACTCCATCATGCGGAGAATCCGGTTTACTTGTATAAAGCTGGAAACAGACCTGTCAATCAAAGAACTGATGTGCTGCCAGAGAAAGGCCAACCTGTTTCCCCAGTGTGTGTTTGCATCACAGCAACCCGAGTGTGGAAAGCAGGTGTGTGGTGTAACCAAGTCCCCTATCAGCCCTGCTCCCTACCTTCCGCTCTTCCATCTTTGTGCTGACCAAGACCCATTTCTGTTCCAAGAGAGCCACACTTTGCTCCATCTTTGATCCAGATCCAGAATCGTCGTGGCTCAGAAGCATGAGCCTCCCCTTCGCCAGGAGCTGGCTGTAGGTTTCCTCATTTGCCTTGAGCTGGGCGTAGAGTTCCTAGAACACAAAGCAGCACTTCAGAAGAGACGTTTGGCAGGACTTCTCCTCAAGATACATCACATCTTCTTTGCCACCACTTTTTGGCTCAGGGAATGTTTGGATCATGGCAGAACACAGAAGAACAGAGCTGGAAGGCACCTAGAAGTCATCTAGTCCAACCTCCTGCTCAAGCAGGAGTGCCTATACTATTCCAGAAAAATGGCTGTCCAATATTTTCTTAAAAACCTCCAGTGATGGGAGCACCCATAATTCTGGGAGGCAAGCTGTTCTACTGGTCCTCACTGTTAAGAAGTTTTTCCTTAATTATCCTTAATAAAAGAGCTGTGGTGGCACAGTGGTCAGAGTGCAGTACTGCAGGCTACTTCTGCTGACTGCCGACTGCCTGCAATTTGGCAGATAGAATCCCACCAGGCTCAAGGTTGGCTCAGCCTTCCCTCCTTCCGAGGTGGGTCAAATGAGGACCCAAACTGTTGGGGGCAAGAGGCTGATTCTGTTAACTGCTTAGAGAGGGCTGTAAAGCACTGTGAAGCAGCAAATAAGTCTAAGGGTTACTGCTGTTGCTAATTCCAGGTGATCTCTTTGATTAGTTTCTTGTCCATGGCTTCTTGCCCTGGCCTCTGGTGCTTTGGAGAATAGATTGATCTCTTCTTTGTGGCAGCTCCTCAAATACTGGACTAGTGCTACCATGTCACCTCTCGTCCTTCTCTATGCTAGACTAGACATACCAAGTTCCCTCAATCGTTCATTGTATGGTTTAGCATCCAGTCTTCTGATGTGCTTAGCTTCCTGTTGTGTTTAGACGTTCTAAAGTGGATGCATAGCACTCCAGACTTGGGGGTTCTTGGCTAAACCACAAAACTTTCATGAGGATTGTGACTAGACTGTGTAAGGTAGAATGAAGCTCATCAAACCTTCCTCCCCTAATTGTTCTTGGAAGTTTCTATTTCTTTTAGAGCAACTCTCCAAGAGGCACTTACTGGTACTCTGGCAAAAGCCCCTCCTCACCACCAAAGATGCCAGAATTCAGCTGCCCTGACTCACCATGTGGGTGTTCAGTTGTTCCCGGGCAGTTTCTGGCAGGCCTCCCGTTGCCTTGGAAGCTGACAGCTGACTCTCCATCCTGGTGAGCCACGAGAGGAAGTCCTCGATTTCACCGTGGAAGCCCTGGGCCTGGGACACACGCAGAGAAGAAGGCGGGGCATTTAGGGGTGAAAGTGCCGTCTTCCCCAGTAAATCCAAACTTACAAAATGATACTTTGTAAGTATACAATATGAGGTATATAATAATATATAAAAAAAACAACTACCCATAAAAGGCCCTGAAAAATCACATTGCGAAGCCTCTGGGCAGCTTGGTTACACAAGAGGAATGCCACTCTCTGGCAGAGGACCAGCATAGGGCAAGAGCTCTCTGAGTTTGCTCGCTTGCTTGCTTGCAGACGTTTCATTACCCTAACTAGGTAACGTCATCGGTGCTAGTAAGGAGGGCTGCTTGCGGTCAGTTTTATATTCTGGTGGCTTGCTTGCCTGTGTGGTTGTGGGTGGCCTTAGGGACTTTCTGGTTGGGCTGTTGGCAAGAGGGCCAGAGCCGGCAGATCCTCTCCCCCTGCATTGTCTCCCCCTTGTCAGCTCACCACCCTGGCAGACCCGCACTGCCTACCTGCTGAAGGGTTGCCTGCAGCTGCTGCTCCCGCACTTCCGTCTTCTGCAGGATCGACTCCCAGCAAGAGTTCATGGTCTCCAGGCGGCTGCGGAGGCTGCTGGCATCGTCCCTGGCACTGGACTCCAGGAGTTCATTGCCAGCCTTGTTCACCGTCTCCACCGTCGCTTGGTGGGCCAACACATCGTTCTTCAGCACCTGGGAAGGGGTTGCGGGTGGAGGGAAAAGCTCAGCTCAAAGCTTTGCCTTTGCAGGAGGCAGGTCAAGCTGAAGATGCCAAGGAGCCCCTCCCAGGCAGCCCCTCCTTGCACCTTCATCTACCCCAGGAGCAGAGGACCAGGTGCTGCCTGGTCCGAGCGATTAGTTCTCCTAGACCTAAAGTGCTCTGGCCCCAGCGGACTATCAGCGCCACTGATCCTCAATGACCTCAGAAGTGGGGTTTCCTGGGGGGGGGGCAGGCTATTTAATCGCTCTATGGCTAAAGGGTCCTGGCCACCAAATGTGCATGCAGCCTCACTACTTTCCTGACTACTTTCCAGCCACAGGTTGGTAAGATGTTAAGACAGAGACCGCAGAGGTGCTGGGGGACAAACCAGGGATGGGACTGTACCAGTTCACACCTATTTGCTAGAACAGGTTGTTAACATTCTAAGCAGTTCGGAGAACTGGTTGTTAGAAGAAATTACTGGGCTAATCCTGTAAGGAAGGCAGGAAGGAAACATTCTGGGGTTGCTTACAGAAACTGCCTCTCCCTTAATCCTTATTACATTCTTGGCAGGACTAGACTTCCTGTCTCTGGAACTTCTCTGGAGGTTTTCCCCCCTCCTTTGCTGGTACTTTGCTTGTGTGGAGGGACCATTCAAAGTTACAATGGCACTGAAAAAAGTGACCTATGACCATTTTTCCCACTTACGACTGTTGCAGCATCCCCCCAGTCATGAGAGGCCAGGCGAGGAGATGCGTGCCTCGATGTGAGCAATATTGAGTTGGCCACACCCAGTCAATAACATGACCACCAAGCCATGTCCACCCAGTCACATGACCACCAAGCCACGGCCACCAAAGCCACACCCACAGAACTGGTTGTTAAAAATTTGAATCCCACCCCTGGGGCAAAACCCTAGGAACCCAAAGGAGCTGAATGGGTTCGGTCATCAAGCCAGCGCAGGGATCTGGCCCTCGAGACCCTGAAAAGCCACGTCAATCAAAGCGGAATTCTCTTCTGGGGCAGCATCCCTGCCTGAGGGCTCCATGCACTCCCCCCTTGCACTTACATGGTGCTTGGCCAACTCCACTTCAATGACTCTGGGGTCCCCGTTGATGGTCTTCTGGGAATCCAGTAGCTCTTCGGTGTGGGTCAACCACGCCATGAGCTCAGCCAGGGCATGCTGGAACTGGCCAAGGGCCAAGAGAGATCCCTCCAGTTTGTGCTGTTTAATGGAGAGGAGGAAGAGAATAGATAAAGGATTGTTTTAACATTCAGTGCATCTTATCACCTTTCCCCTTCAACAAGTGCTACTCAAGTAGACTCACTATGATTTTTTTAACAATACAACTACAAAACTAAGAAACTTGTAAAGTTAAGAGTAGCACACCACCAAAATGCAAAAGTCAGGCTGAAAAACCAAACAGAAAGAAAGCCAACGACTGGCTAATTGATGATAGAAAACAATGTCACTGCTCAGAAAAGGAAAGGAAAGCATAAGGATTTTAAAATATTTTAAAAATATTTCATGTTTTAAATGCAAGCCTCCAGACCAGCCTCTCTCAGCTTCAGCATCTTTAAAATGTGCGGATTTCAGCTCCCAAAATTCTGCTGGCTGGGAATTGAAGTTCACATATCTAAAAATGGCCAAGGCTGGAAAAGATTGCTCCAGACCATGGGTGTCAAACTCGATTATGTATGTGACGTATCATTAGGCATCACGACACTTTTTTTGCCTTTGTGGAGCCGGGACAGGCGTGGCCCATGCACAACACTTCTAGCCCACAGGCTGCCAGTTTGACAGGACAGAAGGTCTCCCTGGTAATTTCCATCAGTTGTAAATTAGTCAAAACCTCTTTGCCGTCAGGTGAGGACGAGGACACACCTGGGAGGAGCTCTTTCTTCTGGAACCAGATCCTAAAAAGTAGGAGCTATCTCATCCACTCATCCATCCAGGTCTGCGCCCGGAGCTTTGCCATACCTGTCGATGAGCTATTTTTTCACTCAGATTCTCCCACAGATGCTTCAGTTCTGTTAGTGGCTCTCTGATGATGTCTCGGTCAGTCTCATCTGTGGCTTTTTTGAGCAAAAGTTCTCCCTGGTGATTCAGCTTCTCCATCTCTATTTGCTGCTGGTATACTTCCGTTTTGAACTCCTGCAGAGAATACAACACGATGAGGATGACGTAGAACACGATAGCTACTGCTATCACCACAGAGGCCTCAAGAATTGGAGAAATGTCCTGCTTGGCACACACACCTTCATCTCATTCAGTTGCTCTTTGACAGTGTTGAGGTCTGTGCCCACCGGGGACATGTTGCACAGTTTAATCACTGTGTTATCTAGCCAGTCAAACATAGCCTGAAAGAAGAACATGAACACAAATGAAGGAGAACCTAGTTAACCTCCACCCTGCCAATCCCGGCTGTTCTGGGATCCACCCCTCCTGGGTCTCTGCACAGAGGCCCCAATGCTTAATTGGCCCTCGGTGTTCCCATCTTCTGAAGACTGGAAGGGGGCAGCGTCTAACGACGCTACTTGTTGCACCGGTTCTTCAGCACAAGACATGACAGGTTTTACTCCTCTGCCCCCTTCCCCCATCCTTTGGCTTCCCGTTAGGTGGAGAGGGACGGGCAATCTTCAGTCCATGAAATTTACTCATCTTCCACCCCCCCAAAAGCAGCCAAAGTTCTTGCTCTTGAAACTCAGCAGCAAAATGGCTGGATTTCAAGTGCAGAATTGCTGGGCTCTTCCTGGCACACTAAAACTAAAACGGGTGTGCTCAGGACTTCCGTGACACCCTCTCGCCCCTCAAAGCCCAGAAAATGGGCACTCAAATCGAGCAGCAGTTGCTCCGTGTCGCTGGCCTGGTTCTTGGTGTGAGAATGACCTAGGAGGTCTGGGCCTCCGTAATCTAGGTCTCTGCATCGCCTCCTGCCTTAGCCCTCCAAATCCTCCCGCCCTCCAGTGACACTGCCAGGAAACATCCTAAGGCCAAGAGGTCCAAAGGGTGCCCAGAGAGACTGCTCTTTTCAGTCCCTCGGGCCTCACCTGCAGATTATCCTGATACTGCACTGCGCTCTGCATGGCCTCCTCCAGCTTCTCCAGCCTCTCCTTCCAGGTTCTGTTCAGCTGTTCCCAGGCACTGTTCATCTGCAAGGACAGGAGGAAATGCACAGCTCCGGCACCATTTGCCAGGGTGGGTGCTGGTGACAGGGCACTGGGGCAAAGGGGCCCAGGTCAGTGGAGAGGGAGGAGAAGCATCTCTGGACCTCTGACTGCCAGGCCCCTCCCTCTAGGCAGATTGGGAGGAGTCCCCTCCACAGGTGCCCATTGGGCCTCACTCTCCCTCCTCCAATATCCCGTCAAAGCACTTCAATCCAAATCTGAAGTGACTGTTAGCTACCTCATCAATGCTTTTCTTAACTTCTGGCTTCTCCGTCTCCCCACAGGCGAAAATCAGATCGGCCCCGAGGATCCGGATGAATTCCAGTTCTTCATGCAAACCGTCTGTCTCTTCCTTGATGGTCTGCAGGGGAGGATCAAGAAACAGATGACTACAATTTGCCTCCTAGAGCAACTCACACGTATCAGCAACTGTGTTTCTGAAATTGTGTCGACAATTAGACTTAACTCTGGAGTGTGATGCTTGTGAAGCAATATATATACCTTTGCTACAGGAAAAAAAAATACAAGGTAGCACCCAAATGGGTAAGTACATCAAAGAATGGGATATTTTCAGGTTTTTTTACCAAGTCATTTTCACTCTGTGGGTCGTTATTTTAAACCTGTTATATGGAAGAAAGATTCTACAGTTTATTCTTAGAAAAGAGGTCACCGCCTATTGAAACAGGAAGCTAACCAGAACAATGTCTTTCTTTCCAGGAGAACCCACCAAATACTGTTCCACTGATTGTTCTGAATGAAGAGGCATCCCTTCATAAACCTTCTGCCAAGCCTACGTTTCCCTCTCGTGGCCACCACAGCCTGCTTGAAGAACTCAAGTTATGCACAATTGGTGGGAAAGGAGGAAATTTATTCGGCCTTCCTACCTCAGCTGCTTCAATCTGCTGTTTGATGATCGATGGATCAATCCCAGGACTTTCCAGGTCATGGACAATGTCTTGGGTGTCCCGGATGGTGGTTAGGAGGGCAGCCATGTCGTACCAAAACTTTTCTGCCAGCTCCAGGACATCAAGGAACTTGATCTCACGCTCCTCGGCCCGAGCTTTGATGTCTTCCCAGAAAAATACCATCTGATCCAATTTATCCTGGATGTCTGAAACAGAGCAAGGAGGATTAAACCCCCCACAAACCCCCAGGGGAAAAAACCGCACGTTCTGTGCCAGGAAACATGTGTCTCTCTGCATCTCAGGCCAGCCCAAGGCAGAGAGGCCACGGGCACGCCCTGCGCTTCAAGCTGTTCCGGGGCCTTACTTTTGGCTGCTAGGTCCCTGTCTGCTCCTTGGGACCGTCTGATCAGCTCCTCTCCCCGGCGCTTCAGACCTCCGAAGGATGGCTGCAGCTTCTCCAGCTCCAGCGTGGCATTTTTGTTGTCCCCAATGCACTCACGGATCTTTTCCACCTCGGCTGGGATCAAGGGAGGCATGCGCAGGCGGGAGGAGAGGCTCTCCAGCGTCTCCAGCATCGGCTCTATCTTGTCATGGAACTGAAGGGAAGGAATGGCCACAGTGAGGGTCCCTTGTGCAAATGGCACGTTGGCATCTTAGCTGCTTCGACTGGTTCTCCTTAGTTCCCAATGCTCTTCTTCTCTAAGCACCATCTTGGCAAATTCTTCCAGAACGTCAGAGGTTTTAGGGAACGACTGATTCCAAGACACAGTTTTTTTGCAAAACTGGTTCTGTGACTAAGAGCAAATTGTGAATTCAAGTATTTCATGGCATTGGTTATGCCAAGCGTGGTCTATTGCCCACCCTCTCTGTTTCACACACACACACACACACACACACACACACACACACACTTTATGATCTGCTAGGGAAGGAACTGCTGTCCTGCTCTCGAAGGCCTGAATGTATTATGGATATAAGTTAGGGAATTAAAACGAGAACGAAAGCCCAGCCAAGAACTATGTCAGCGACTCCCCAACCTCTAAGCTCTGGATGGCAAGTGTGTGCCTCTGCTCGGGTCTTTTCCTAATCAGACCCATTTCCCTTCTGTGAGGAGGAGCATTCAACCCTCTCCTGCCTGAAGGGGCACCTGCCCTCGGAAGCCCCACTGCTGGTGGTTCCTGCCGCCGGCCTGAATTCCAAGGCCACCCACCCGGGGACAGGGAGCAGCGAGGGGGCCTGGGAGCCAACCCCTTCAGCCGTGTTGAAAAGGAGATGTCCTGAGAGGAACCAAATATTTGGGCCTTCCTTCCCCCCTCCAGAATTGAGTACAGTAACCCCCGTTAAGCTAATCTGTTGCTGGGCAAGATTATGGCAAAGGGCGGGGCCAGAGGGAGGGCCCGCTCTGGCTTCTCTAGGGAGCTCTCCATGGATGGGGGGGGGGCCTCAAGGCAGAGAAAGAAAACTTTGGCTTCAACTGAAGCGCCAGCGAGACAGGCGAGCATTTTGTTCCCTGACACCTTTGCCTTCTCCAGGACTCACGGTCTCTTCGAGGAGGGTGTGCGTGAGTGTGTGTGTGTGTGTGACACAAAGACGGTAAGGTGGTCCTGCCGTTCTCTCCAAACCAGGGGCAGCAGCGGCAGATGACACCCCTAATCTAGGCAGCTGGGGAGTTTTTCACACCTCTAGCTCAGCGTTCACCCCGAAGGCTCCCTATTCCTGGACTTGGGGTGTTTTTTTTGCTGTCCTCAAGCTGGCGGGACGGAATTCTAGAGGGCGTTCCAGGAGGGAAAGAGGAAGATCTTCCCACGAAGGTTTTTGGGGGCTAATTCAGAGGGCAGGAAGCGTGATGAGGGGATCCTTACCTCTGCAATCTGTCATGGTGGAGTCAACACAACAATGAATGGTGACGAGCACGCAGGGAAGGCGGTAAATGGGCACCGAGAGAGACAACGGGGGAGACATTCCACAGTGGGAGGGTGATGAGACGGGGGTGAGGGGTGGGGGGTGGGAGGAAAAACTCAGCGTTAATGTGAGGGTAAACTGAAAGGAGCAGAAATGACTAAAATAATATAAAAATACATATCCTAGAACGACTTTCAAAGACGTGACACGGAACAAAATCCAAAGTAACAGCATTATCAACTAACAAGACAAGTTGACATGAAGGGACAACAAATGGGGTTTCTTGCATGTATCCAAACCACTGCAGTGCCAAAAAGGAAATTAAATAAATCTGATTTTAAAAATCTGCACCACTCCCACACCTCTGTTTCTATTCAGAATAGATATTTGTTTGCCAAACTTCCCCTTGCCTCCACCAAGACCTCCGAGAAGGGGCCTTCCTGCCCTCTGACTCCACGTCCCACAGAGAGAGGCTTTGTGGTCCCCTCAGGCGGCTTCCATACCCGGCTGCTCCTACACTCAGGAAGGAAGCCAGAACTTCCCGCGGCTTCCCCTACCCGATGCCTCCTTCCGGTCCGGCTCCCTTCTCTGCCCATTTGCCTTCCAAAGCACGGGCGTTACTTGGCACGGTGGGCGGTTTGGCTGCAAGAGCTGCCCGGCAGAGGGTGACAAAATGGTCCACCCCAGCCCTAGGGGCCTCCTCTGGCAGCCGACGGTGGGGGAGGGGCTGCCCCCTGGCCTACCCACCTAAGGCCAAGCCCCCCCTCCCCCCGCTGCTTCATCTGACCGCAAGCAGCCCCTTCGGCAAGTGCAGCCCTGGGGCGAAGGGTCCCCCAAAGAGGTTCCCTTGATTCTACCTCTCCCCCTTGGGAGCTCCCACGTTCCCCCTCCCATCAGATCCTGCCCCTGACGTGTTCCCAAACCTGTGTGGACTGGGAGATGGCCTCATCGAGGGCCAGAGCCCGCTGGTGGACCTCTTCCTTGATGTGGGAGTAGGCGGCTTCTGCGGCAAAGTACTTCCCCTGCACCATTGCCCCCTCCTCAGGGTTCAGCTCCGTCAGTTGAGGGCCAATTTTCAGCAGCTTGTCAATATGGGGCTTGTGTTCAGCAATTGATTCCCGCAGTTGCTACCAAGAAAAAAAAAATCAAGTATAGAAAAAAATCAACCTTGGGATGCAATGACCCCAGGAGCACGAGAGGAAACACTTAACGGCCGGCCAAAGTATGTACTGGCTCTGGAAAATAAAGCATTGCTATATATAGTCAATTATTTGCTCTGAGTTTCAAAAACTGTCACAACTTCAGTCAAGAATTACTGAGCAAACTGGAAAGCCCGGCATACGCGCCTATTGCGGACACCAAGTTCAGCAAAAAAAAAATGGGACCTCCATCCTCTCCCTCTTTAAGCACAACATCCATATTGGTGCCCTAGTTATTCTTCGTTTTAGTCTCAGTTGGCTGACTCGGCCAGGGTTTGGCTCAGGCAGTGAATTCATACAGTGCAGACCACGTTTGAGTTCATCGCAATGCCCAGTTGATCCGAGGCCCCAGGCTGGTACCCTCCAGCAGGCCCAGCCAGCGAACCCATCGAGCAAAGCCTCAAGTCAGCCAGCGGAGCCTTCTTCCCCGCCTGTTGCCCAGGCAACCTCCTGCTTCTCTGGGCAACTGCGTTCCATCACCATACAGGCTGACTTGCCAAATCCTGGTGTCACTTCCCACCCAGCAGAACCACTCAAAGGCCAGGAGCGGCAGCGGCTTCCTCTGCTCAGGAGGGGGTTGTTTCACAGCCCCACTCAAACCAATGTAACCAGGGGTCCCTTTCGCAGCCATGCAGACTCAACTTGGCATTTCCCAACGGCATGCAGGCGCACGGACACCCCCTTAGGCCCAGTTACCCTCATATCTTCCTGCTGCTGCTTGAGGTGCTCATGGTCGATTGCTGGAGGCGGCAGCTGCCCAATCAGCACCTGGGTCTCCTCAAGCCAAGGACTAAGCTCTTCGTAGGTCTCCCAGAACTGGTTGACCAGGACCTGGGCCCGTTCCAGGCGGGCGTAGCGTTCAGAGTGGAGGTGGCTGGTCTCCTCGTACTGCTCCAGAAGAGACTCGGTCTTCTCCTGAGGAACAAGGGCAGAGTTTGGGGCAGGCCAATGGGCCTCCATCCTCCAAAGCGTGGATTTCCAAACTGCCCCGCAGCGTTTCCTAGGCCCTGAGGTCTACCTGCAGCATGACTTTCTGCTCCTCTCCACAAGTTCCCAGAATCTCCGTTCGCTGGCTGAGCAATTCATCCACAGAGTCTTTGTGACGGATGATGTCGATGGAGAAGGCCTGCATGAAAGAAAACCATGGCAGCGGAGCTGAACTCTAAAGCACAAGCCATGGCTGGGCCTCCCTCCACCCTGCATGCTCCTTCTTCCTGCCCTGCTTCCTCGGTGCTCCTGGCTAGCTAAAGTCCATGATTGTTGTTATTAAAATGCACGTTGTGTTTCCCACACAACGGGGCCCAATGTACCTCTCGAGGGTTTCCTTCACCCAGACCCACAGTTCTTCTCCGCTGCCTGGGAAACATCCAGCTCTGCCGTCCCTTTTCCTTCACCCAGACCCCCTCCTCCAATCACACCCCCCTCTGCTCTCCCCCTGAACTTCCCTTGGCCTCCAGCAGCCTAACTCTGCTCTTCCAATCCAGGAACGTTGCCGTCTCTTCCCCGTTGCGTACCTTCTGCACCTGCAGCTGGGCAGTGGTCTGGTCCTGCTCCAGCCTAACTGGGCCAAGCGCCAACAGCTTCCGCCTGGTCTCAGCAACCCAGGCGAGTTCCGCATCGGCTGCCTGCTCGTACTGTCAGAGAAGAGAGCACAGCCGAGTTAGCAGGGAAACTCGCCGGCGAAAGGCGGCGATGATGCAGCACCAACAAAGCTGCACGGGCCAAGTACACCGGGTCTGGGCTGGGGAAAGCGAAGGTGCTTCAAACTGAATGCTGCACCCTCTTGGTACCTGCCAGCCTTTCCTTAAATGAACAATGCCTCTTCAGGAAATACCTCTTTGAGTTCAGGTGGCAGCAATGGCGCTCACCCCCTCCTTAATGTTTCCTGAATGCCCACATGCATTGCGTGGAACTGCAAGCTCAGGAAACGGCCTGGAGTTGTTAAGGAACTGCTGACCGGTACAGGGAGATGACCTCTCCCCCTCTGGGACCTCTTAAATAGGCCAGACATCTGGAGCACAAGGGGGCAATAAAGGCAGTGCTGCAGGAGGGCAAGTGAATTCCAGCCTGGTGCTGCATGCCAGGAAAGCAGCTGGGGCAAATTTTACGGAAGGGGAAAAAGCAAAAGGGCCCCCAGTCATATAATGGCCGAACGATCCGTCCACAAGAAACCCAACTTCTATTTTGGGAGAGACTGGAAGCTGCTCTGCCTCCCCCCAGCAGTTCTTCTGCTGTCCTCAGAACCCCTGAGGCCCAAAGGTTCAAACTCTTTTGCTCCAGGCATTTTATCCCTCAACCTACGAAAACCTCCTTCAAAGGACAAATCCTGCTCAGGTATGGAACAAGGTCCTCAACCCACTGCACAGCCCTCACGGAGTTCCCCGGCCCCAAGAGATCCCCTGTCAGGTGTGAGAAACCGGGAGGGAGTTCAAAAGCACAGAAACGTGTGGAAAACGGGCTTTAGTCCCTGGTGCTGGGATTGTGCGTCAATGCAGGGTTTCTGAGGACTGGCTTAGGTAGTGGGGCAAAACGACCTGCCCAAATCTCATGCTTGGGCAAACCACCCCGAGAGAGAGTGGCGTCTGCATCGCCAGTGGTTTGCAGTGAACTGCCAGCCTACCTGCTGAGACCTTTGGATGGCAGCATCTATCTCTGCCACCCGCTGGTTGATGGTGTCACTGGTTGCTTTATACCGCTCGTTGGCATCTGAGACCAGCTTATCCAGTCCTTCGCGGGCTCGCCAAGGGACCAGTTCAAGGAGGGCATGGCTGACTTCATTCACCGTGTCCAGGATAATCTGATGTTCCATCACCTCCTTCTTTAGTTCCTAGGGGGAGAGGCGGCCGCTCTCTGTGATTGTGCCATCAGGCTGGGCCAGGCTTGGTGGTCAAGTGACCAAATCCTGCCTCAGAGTTCTTTCCAGGGCAAGGAGAGAGGCAATATTGTGGCCGCTCTTCCTGCTGAGGACGAGGGGGCCCTGGAACATGGCTCCCCCGGGAGGCCCCTTACCTTCTGCCTCTGCTGGAATCGGGGGATCTGCTCGCCCGTGGGGGAGTGTCCTCCCCCAGACATCAGCTCCTCTTCCACCTGACCCATCCAGCCCGTCAACTCTTCGTGGGTCGACTGGAACTTGGTGGCCAGCTGCCGGGCCTGCTCCAGCGTGCGGAGAGCCTTTGAGCTGGCAGCGGTGATGTCCGAGTAGCGGGTCTTGATGCCATCCAGTTTCTCTTGGATGAGCAGCACCTCTTCCCCTGCGGGAGATCCCCAAGGGTTTGGCTTGGAAAAAAATGCCACCTACTGTGGGCCCAGAGTGTAGTAGGCTGCCCTCCCGCTGGCCATCCACCCTCCCACCCACACAAAGTTTTGGGCACCTGTGTCCTGCACAGTCCTGGTTGTGGAGGAATGTGGGTGGGTGCGGGTGTGGAGTGGCGCAGGCAAGGCAGGTGCGGCCATTGCCTGGCATCTTTCCCTCTCCTACCTGTGGTTTGTTTCAGGAGGGCCTGCCCGTTCTTCATGGCCTGGTCAACGTGCTTCTTGCGGTTCACAATCTCATCATTCAAAGCCTGGGTGGGGGAGGGAAAAAGCCCACGCTCAGAAAGCTTCCTGGAAAAGATCTGAGGGCTTTGTGAGGGACCAAAGCAAGGGATTTGGGGGTTTTAAAATGCTGCTTATCCTTGTTCTATTATCTTCACAGATGGTTCCTTTAGTACACAAATAAAGCTAAACAACTCCCATCAGAGCAAGCAAATTGAATCAGCACACATTGCAGGTAGATGGAGTCTGCCCAAGAGACTTGTGTCTAAGAGAGAGAGGGGGAGGGAGGGAGGGAGGGAGGGAGGGGGAGAGAGAGAGGGAGGGGGGGGGGGGGGGCTTTGAGCAGCAGGTGCAGCCAGGGTAAAAGAGATGCCTTGGACAGGCCACAAGGCATGCCAAACAGGGGAGTCTCCAGAGAAGAGCCCAAGGCTGAAGGCTTAGGGCGCAGAGCTACAACCACCTGGTCAAGGCCAGAGCTTCAGAAGGAAGGCCTGTTGGATCTGCTAACAGAACCATTCCTCGGCTTATTGCTGCTTCAGGTAACAGGTCCACCTGAATTCACCAGGGGGCTCCTATTCTCACCGTACACCTGACCCTCTAACGTGCAGAAGGTCGTTCCCCATGGACTGTTGTCTCGTCCAGCTTCTTTTCTGGTCCTCCCTCAAGGCCACAGTCACCAGGGCCAGATGTCACCCCCTCCCACCCCCACCTGCAGACTTTCCTTTTTCCTTCTCTGCAGAAACGAACGGCTGCAAAGAAGGAGAGCTGCAATAGGCCCAAAACTGTCCTTCAGCAAGAGGCCGGACTGTGAGAGGAAGGCGCTTCAGAGGTTCTCCCCAGGGAGAAAAACAAGGCTGCTGCTCCGTCCCTCGTCCTTCAATGGAGAGGCCAGAACCAAACCGTCCACGCAACTCCCCTGCGGATCCCCGGGACTGTGTCCCCCCACCCACCCCCTTGCGAGAGGGAGCAGATGGGCCCCCCCAAACCTGTGTCCCTCCACCCATTCCTAGCTCTGATTTGGCGGAGAGCAAAATGGAAATGGTTCCAATCAACAGGGACAGGGAAGCAAAATAAACACAATCATGAAAGATGGATTACTACCAGCTGGCCAGAATGTTGCTGCTGCAGGACCTCTCGTCTGTAATCCTTGACGGACACCAAGCTGAGCTTGTCCTCAACCTCGGCCAACCAGTTGAGCACCTCCACTTCGTCCTCCCCAAAGAGCCGGGCGTTGGACAACGCCTGATCGAGGAGGGCAGCCTTCCGGCCGCATCGGTCACAAACCTCAGCGTACCGGGACTCAAGCAGGTCCAGCTTCTCAGCCAGGGAGACCTGCTCAGCGCGGCAGCTGAGCAAGGCCAGGGAATGGCCAATGCTGACCACCTGAGTCGCCGCCGTAGCCTGACTGTCTATCTCCTCCTCTAGTGCCTGGAAATCCAGGAGGTTTAAGGGGAAGAACAAAAGAGGGGAAAAAACAAACAAACAAGCAAACAGAAATGCATGGTTGATAATGGAAAACATAAGGTGGGAAAATTAAAACACAACTGAATGGTGAATATGACTGAAAATTGTGTAGATGCTAAAATATCATTTACTAAAATAATAGTTTCAACAAAACAACTATAATAACAAAAATTTAAAAAAAAAGATGGGTTTTCTTTTTCAGGTATCCATATAAGTATTGAGACAGAATATACCACAACTTTTTTAAACTGCTTTTTTAAATGATGATTACTAGCTTGTTTTGCAAATGGTGGTAATTCAGCATTTTAAACCACAGTTTGTTGAATAAGCTATCACAACCCAGTGTGTATTTAATGCTAACAAATAATAGGCACGTATCTATGGAAACATTTATCACTGTTTCCTAGGAAAGGAGAAAAAGGGGGAGCTCCTGAGGCTATGGCCAGGGACACCCTACCTGGCTTGACAGGGGAGCAGTGGTGGGGCTTCCCTTCAAGATGAAGCCAAGAGGAACTCCACCACCCAGAGCAACAGGGCCAGCCGATCCAACTCTCCATGATCTTGTCAAGGAGCCAGGCAAGCACAGATCCTGCCCCTTGGATACAGATGTGCTGAGCTTGCCGCTGCCCAGAGGGACCGGCCCAGATGTGCAAGGAACAGGCGGGGCCTGGGTTACAGTAGGGCTGAATGGGCACTGTGAATGGGCCCCACATGCCTGGGAAACGGAACAGCCACCTGGGGGGCAATGGCTGTGTTGATCCCCCTTGGTTCTCCTGAGGGCTTTGATTGCTCTCTCTCCGTTGACCAAATGAAGCCACGACCACTGCTTGATGGCACTGTGGAAAAGGTGGCATGGATGAAATGAAGATGCTGTGACTTTTCTGGGAAGCCCCAGCCACGGCTGAGAGAGAGAGGTATCCAATCACACCAGTGAAATCTTGCTCAGATTATGTGATGGAAGGAGAGAAGAGCAGGCAACGTGGCTGTAGCATTTCTACGAATGCACACGGAACATGCGGCTGCTACAGGACACGCTTGAAGATAAGCTGCCCTGCAATCTTTGATGCTTTCTGGGCAGACATCCAGAATACCAAGGGCAGGTGGCCCACCTCGCCTGGACATTGATAGGCTCTCCACTGGACCCTGTTAGGGCAACGGCTGCCCAGAGTCACTTTAGAGGGGAGATTGGCAGCATAAAAATTTAATAAATAAACAAACGAGCCTCCAAGCACTGAAGGCCAACCTTGGCATTTTGTCTTCTAGGCCTTGAACCACACTGCATCGTCTGTTCTCACAATCCCCCAGAGCCTCACTCAGAAATCTCCCTTCCCAGCCGCAGAATCTGTGCCTGGTGCCCCCCTACCCCTTTCCGAACTGCTTGGCAACCACTTGCCCACCTTGTGCCGCGCAATCTGCTGCTGGATTTTGGCAGTCTGAGTCCCAATGGGCTCGGAGTTGGCCAGTTTCTTTTCAGTCACTGACAACCACTCAGAGATGGGTTCTGAAGTCTCGTGGAACTGCTTAGCCAAAACCAGGATCTCCTCCAGCTGACTCTGCCTGTGGGAAGGAAACAAAACCGTGCAGAAATCAACGTCTGTGAGGCAACGGAAGATTCCCGGTGAGGCTAATTGAGAGCCATGAACAATTAAAGCTGTTCCACGCATTCTGTTATGTCCCATTACAGTTCCCTAATCTGGCCAGGAAAGCAGATTAAGCCATGATGTCTTCTCGTGTAGCACAACACCTGAACCTGGGGAACAATTAAATTGTTGAAAAACAGAACGTCTTGCTGCTCTATTTTTCTTCTCACTTTGGCCAAATGCTAAATTATTTTTAAAAGAGGTTGGAGACCAGTGAGCCTCACTGAAAATTACAATGAATAATTTTAAATACACTGAAAATAAACAGAGCTGGAAGTAATGCAATCTTCCTCTAGCAAAGTTGTTAGGACCTTTGAATTTTTTGGAGGAAGGAGGAGCAGCCTAAATCTCTACTATGCCTGTTGGTGTGACTGTCAGGGGTGGCTCAGAGAAAGGGCACAATGGGAGCCACAGATGTGGATTCCCACATTCCAGAGCCCACAGAAACATATGAGGTCATCTTAAAAGGAAAGGCAGATTGCAACTAAAATCAATATTTTAGCAAATTTGATCAAGAAATTAATGCAAAGACAGCTGGTTACTCCAAATTCCAGTCCCCCAAACTGGAAGGAGCATGAAGTCCTTTCATCATTTTGTGGTCCTTGAATCATGTGACCATTGAATACTGCAAATGGATGGCCGAATTTCTTGCAACCCTGAAGTGGATTGAAACTGCAAAATCCCCAAACTCCTACAAAAACCAGCTGCACTAATATGTAGATTATAGGGTCTCTTCCTTTCCCATCCTTGGCCTGTTTTAGTTGGTCCTGTCCCAGTTCTCCTGTGTAACATGTAGCTTGACTTCAGTTTGAGCACTGATTCCTCTTTAATTAGAGGCGGCAGGCACAATCAGACATTTCCTTAGAAATTAGCCAGGGAAGAAGTTGAAATTCTTAAGGAAGAGAGAGGAAGAATAGAATGAAACCTTTCACTGGTCTTCAGTAAGGAAATGCTGATGACCAAAAACGTCAACATGGTATCTATTGTTCAGGGAAAGGATGAATTAAGAATTACATATGGATGAAACAATTAAAAAAATCATCACCTGTTCATGGCATTCAACTGGGAACTTTAGGAGATGGGGAAAGAAAACCCAAACTAGCAGGAGCTAGAAAATGACAGGCAGGCGAGGCTATTATCTCTCCAAGGAGATAATCTTGAATGGTAGAACTGTTAATAACAATTCAGTTACTGGAAAGAAGGGCAAGAAGCAAGCTCAAGACAGTATAAGACAGGAAGGAAAGATCTTCTGACAGCCTTTCAACGTTCTATTATTGGATCCTGTAATCATGAAGAGTCCTAGGCGGTCCTTTGGTGGTCTCGTCCCTAACCTGGCCTACTTTAAAAGGCTGGACCCGGAAAGCATAATTAAAGGTCGAGAAGTTAAGCCAGGGATATCCTACTTGGGGAGTTGATGAGCACATGGAACCCTCACAGCAAGTCCGAGGACCGCTCTCACAAGATGCCCGCCCTCCCTCCCTACTTAATTCTACACTGTGTTTCTGCATGTTGAGCCACAAAACCCTCACTGAGCAGAGGTTCCTCCCCACTGCCTCTAATGTCTGTTTGCTGAGCAGGTGAGTGGCCTTCCAATTCAGGCCTCCTCCTTTACAAGGTTCCATCTTAGGCCCAGGACTCTACAGTATCTTCGTAAATGACTTAGATGAAGGGATAGAAGTGGAGATCATCAAATTTGCGGATGATACTAAACCGGCAGCCAAAAGAGCCAATACAATCCTTGGTTGTATAAACACAGACATAGAATCAAAATCACATGAAGTATTAGTACCATTTTATAAATCCTTAGTAAAGCCACACCTGGAATAGGGCATCCGGTTTTGGTCACCACATTATCTAAAAGATGTTGAGACCTTGGAAGAAGTGCAGAGAAGAGCAACTAAGATGATTAAAGGCCTGAGGACTAAAAGGCTGCAAGATTTGGGTAGGGCCAGTCTAGAGAAAAGAAGGACTTGGGGGGGGGGGGCACATGATAACAGTGTTCCTGTATTTGAGGGGCTACCACAAAGAAGAGGGGGGTCAAATTCTTCTCCAAAGCAGCAGAAGGCAGGACAAGAAACCATGGATGGAAACTAATCAAGGAGAGAAGCAACGTGGAATTAAGGAAAAAAAACCTTCCTCACAGGGAGGACAATTAACCAGTGGAACCGCTTGCCTCCAGAAGCCTCGTGGGGGCTCCATCACAGGAGGTTTTTAAGAAGAGACTGGACAGCCACTTGTCCAGAATGGTATAGGGTCTCCTGCTTGAGAAGAGGGCTGGACTAGAAGACCTCCAAGGTCCCTTCCAGCTGTATTCTTTTCAGGGGCAATTGTGGTGATTTGGAAGTCATAGCTTCTTATTTTGAATCTTTCAATTAAAAGAATTAAAACATAAAAGACATGAGACAAGGTTCCTGGTGGGCACCAAAGGAAGGGAAACACCCAGGGGCCACACCTTCCAGATCTATGTTCAGCAACGGAGCAACACATTTTGCTGCTCTGTCCTCTGGAGCCCTTTCAGTGGTGCAACCCGGCCAAGAGAACAGACATGAACAGCCAAGGGACAAAATAAATGAATAATAATAATAATTGTAGGACAAGCGGCAGTAAATGGCTATAGAGCAGGAAATGGAGTGTGGGAACTGGTATTAGAGGGAAGGGAGCTACGGGGTTCCTGAAGAAAGAGGGCAGATGATCACTGTGAGGAATTGTCAGTGTGAGCGGTTAGTTATGAAACTGCAGAGTTGGAGGAAGGCAGCAAAATTATCTGGGAGGTGAAAACTCCAAAGACTTGCAAAGAAACCTGGGTTAACAGAAGCCATTCAAATTAAGGGTCCACTGCGTTGGGTAACTGCAAACTGGAGTTGTGCAGGGAGCTACGAAAGAAGCAAATTCTACCTCAGTGAAAATAAAACTACTAGTGTTGTAACCTTGACATAGTTCTGTGACATGAAGTTCCACCTCTGTTTGCTTGGCCTCTCCAGAAATTGGTGCCGCGGAGTTGGAAAAATTACCACAAAGGGCACACAGAGCAATTAGGCGAATGGGAATCTGTCATCCATAATCTAGCGTCCTCCAGAGGGACTGGATTCAAATCCCCAGCTCCCAGAGGCAACATAACTGGCCAACATTTTAAAGTCCTTTGCGTGTGGAGGGCCCTGGGGGAGGAGGGAGGGGATTGAGTGAAAAAAATTCATGGTGTGACAGACTCTCTCTCTAACCAGTGAAATTGGTCAGCTCTGGGTTCAGGATTGTCAAATCATGGGGAAGGGCAGCTTCTGATGGGCTTGCTGAAAACTCCCCTCCCCCTCCAGCCAGGGATGCCCTGCCTGGCTCTCCTCAGTGGGTTTCTACCAGCAGAGCACGTGCAGCCCTCCTGCCTTGCCCTTGGCTTGGTTTCTGAATGGGGAATATTTGGAGGGAGGCTGGATTTGCTTGAGGACATGGCTGAGAGCAGAGCTTGCCCGAAATCTCTAAAATCCCTGGCAAAAAGAAGCACTTCTCAGCTTCTCCGGAACTGTCACAAGGAAGGGGCCGGCTTCAGACTGAGCAGCAAATTATTCCGGAGGATGCCTGGGCCCCATTCAGAAACAGCGCAGAAGCAGACTGGCAGGGAGGAGTCCCACTGGAACGGGAAGGAGGTGAGGTTGATGATGTGGGTGGAGCTGGTCCACAGGTCACCTGGGCTGAAGCCCCAAAAGGCTTCCTGTGGCAAATGACACTGAGCCAGAAACCACTAAACGCCGGTGCAATACTTGAGCACCACCTCTGGAAGCATCACACAGCACCTGCTGCCACACTCCGGGCTTGTTCAGGCTTTGAAACCACCCCCATCAAGCTCTGTTCTCCCTTGCCTTTCAGCAAAAGCCCACAACCCCCATCACTGCTGCCCGGGGGTGGGATTCAACCGGTGTTACTATCGGTTCGGTGACTACGTTTTGCATAGAACTGGCTTTCATGCCTGAGGCAGGACTACATTCATTCATTCATTCACTCATTCACTCTCTCTTTCACACACACACACACACACACACACACACACACACACACACACAATTTCTAGGCCAGCACCCTCCTGCTCACTACAGTATAAGTCTTAGTAGGATGTGCTCAATTATTTGCATCCTTAAAGTGTTCCAGAGTTGCTCAGAGACCCTGTCCTTATGCTTCGTGGCCATATCACAGCACCTGCCACAGGGCAGGATTCTTAGCAATCACTGTTTCAAATTCCTGAAAGATTTTATCCTTTATGTCTCCATCAGCCCATAACATTACTTTATAGGTCAATACTATCAGGACTCTTGGCTGGCATGTCGGCAAGAAAATGGAAGCATGTATTTCCAAGAACAAACAGGATCATTGTAGAAAAGCTAAAGAAGAAGCCAGTGACTGCTGAGAAATGCCAGAGCTAGTCATAGCAACATCAGGGTGCAGTTTCTCGCACACAATGTAAAGCAAAGAGATTGTCCTTTTCGGCTGGAGCAACAATTTACACCTGTCTCCTGTTTTAGTACCAACTTGTCTGGTGTCCTGCTTTCTGCTTGTGGCAGGATCATAGGTATATTATGCAAAAGTCAAGCCTTCTGAGTGAACTAAACGGAAAGACAGATGTAACTCTTTATACTGCACACGGCTTAAATCGTGCTAGGAAATGCGAGGAGGGGACACAGTTGGGAGGCTCAGCTGAAGGGCCCTTTCTGCAGCTATTGCACAGAGTGGATCTCTGAAGTCCTTGTGGATCCTACAGGTCTTTTACACACCAGAGCTGCACTGGGAGCTTTATATCTCCCTTTCTAGGAAGGGAGAAAAGAAAGGTGGGAGTTCTCTAAACGGAGTGGGCTTCCTTCAATCTTTTCTGCCTTGCTTGCTTTCTAGGTGAATCTCTGTGCCCTGGTTTCACCTAACAAGGAAGCATTTTCTTTATGTTTGACAGAACATACTATTCGGGGGAAAGATTCTGCCCTCAATGCCAAAGGAAGTAGAAGCAAAGCAAGATGGCAAACTCTGAGCCGCAGGAAAGATGTCCCCGCAGGTCGAAATCCACCGAGGGCTTCTTCTCACAGTCTCACTGAAGTAAACCAGAACAACTGTTTTAAAAGATCAGATTTCAGCCTCACTTGCTACACGCAGCTGCAACATTTCACAGCGTGGGAAGAAGAGTGGCCAAGAAATCCAAGGCGATTCTGATGAACCTCAGGATTAAAAGAACCGTTTCACAGCATCCTTGCCCCAAGTGCAGAGGTCTTGAGTTAAGGGAAGACAGAGAAACATAAAATCCATGTGCCCTGCCGCAGGGTGATGGCGGAGCGAGGAACAACTGATGGGTGTCTGGCGTTTCCACTCTTGGCTTACCTGGCTGAAGCTTTGCTGAGAAGGCTTGCCCAGTGGCTTCCCAGGCTTGTCAACTGGCCGACGATTTTCTCCCTGTCTGCTGGTTCAGCTGACCGGGCGATTCTGTCACCTTCTGCTTGGATCATGTCAACAGTCGCTTTCCGATCGTCCAGGAGACGCTGCAGCAACTTTGCAAAAGGTCCAGAGAAGAAGGAGCATTTGCCACTTTCTCCCACTTGCACAACTCATGAACTTACCATCATAGTAGCTCATGTTATACTTTTATTATAGAAACTCCTTGCTAGGTTGGTATTTTATCTCACCCACTTTATTGATTTACATGTTGTATATTTTAAAATCCTGCTCATTATTGACCCAATAAACACTACACCCCCATTTTTTTCAGGAATTCCCCTTTTGCCAACTCTCCCAGCTGCAAGCAATGTGAATGCCAAGGACTAATCCCTGTTCCCCTCCTACCACGGTAGCTGCATTGCTTTGGATCTGCTCCCATCTGGTGCCTCCCTCCCCCGCCATTTCTACTCACCTTCTGCTCTTGGATCTGAGCCTTCACCACTTTGTACTCAGCCGAGGGGGGCTTCTGGTTGGAGATGAGCTCCTCGGTGTCAGCCAGCCAGCTGAGCAAAGGCTCCAGGGCGTCCTGGAACTTCCCACAGTGGAGCAGGGCTTCCTGCAGTTGGGCAATCCTCTGGGCCACCTGCATGGGGACAGAGCAGGCACACCCTTCGCTCGAGTAGCTGCCCTTGCTAGCCGGGGCCTATTTCAGCCAAGAGCGGTTGCAGAAGTTAAGCTAGTTTCGTCCTCCTGCTCCCCTTGAGAGCATTTCCCTTTGGCTAACAGGAAGCAAGGCATCCCATTCAATAGGATTCCCTGGGTTCACATCTTCCTTGTTAAGTCACCCCTCTCCTCCTTTCTCTTTCTTGCTTGGCAGCCCCCCCTTCCCCCCTGTACACATTGGAGGCTCCTGTTTTTGAAACAGCCTCTTCCAGACAGAGTTCAGAACTGCACCCAGGGGGTTGGTTGGAGGGGGCACAGGGGGTGGACATGTTTGCTACTCCCGTTTTCTAGTATGACCAGTAGCTAGAACAGGGATGCAGCCAAGCAGAGAAAGGAATGGATATTGTTATTATGGTCACTGACTAGAATTGCGAACAAGCACATTAAAAATCAAGTAAAAATGAAACAAGGGGGAAAAAACTACAATTGGTGGTGGATTTGACAGTGGGTTCTCAGCAGAGAAATGGAGGCTCAGTTCTCAGCTCCTGCTCAGGATCGATCAGCGTTTATGGTCAGGGCCTCTTCCGTTTGCAAATGGGCACCTCAAACACTGAGTTCGTAGCACAGAGAGCGCCAGAGACGAGGACTCTTGACAGGTCCTGCGCTGCAAACTCTTCCATTCCATCCCAGGGGACCATCCACAGGCTATTTCCCAACATTTCCACCAGGGAACTCAGCAGCATTTGGAGGTCAGTCCAGACCTTGGTGCCTGCGCAACGCTTACCTTTTTGTTGAGGGTGTTCCATCGGGTGCTGATCTCTTCCATGTCATGCTCCAAGCCCTGGACATCACAGTTCTTGCCCGCACTCTGGACAAGCCCTTGTCCAAGCCCATTGACTTGCTGCAGCTTTAATTGAAGGGGGTCAACTTGTTCCTTCTGGAATTGCTGAGCAGGTGGGGAGAGGGAAGAAGGCAAATGAATCCTATTATAAATCTTTGCAAAAACTTTATCTGACTAAGGACTCGGGATATGACGCACTTTCCCTGGCTGCTAATTTCATCCTTGAACAGTCTTTTTAAAGAATATGGGGGAGATTCTGTCTCAAGTGAACTTCATAGCTCTGGAAGAGTCTGAATCCAGGTCTCCCGAGTCTAAATCCAACATTCTGCCATTAAACCATGCAACCAATAAGCATCTGTGGGAGCTGCTGGCCAGCATCTTCTCCCTCCAGCATTTAAGCTTTAACCTGCAGACTGCAAACAAACATTAACAGATCCTGCATCAAAGGACTCAACTGACTAATCAAGGAAACTTGGGAAATTAACACGAGATTTGATGTTGGAATTTAAAGGTGTTTGTGGAACAGATTTCGCATATGGAGAAAGGACTCAATGCAGTGAAATCCAAAAAAAGCTCAGTCACATAACATCAACAGGAATCTAGTTCTACCCCTTTAGGATGGATGTTACAGTCTCAATGCCAAAGCCCACCTAGAAAGTCCAGGGCACAGACTGTATTTCCCGCACAAGCATTCCCCCCCACCCCAAGCATAGGTCAATTCTCTGTTCTATATTACTTTATTATGCTACATATTATTATACTACCCCTCCGCCTCTCTAGAGATCCCACTCCCTCCCACTTTACCATAGTTTCACACATCCTGCTTTCCACACTTCCAGATGTTATAGACGTATCACTTGGTCAAAAGCTAAAGATACATTATTGAGTACTTCTGCAAAGTTCTTCACAGATGAGAAAAAGCCAAACCATTTGGGAAGAAAGGGAATGGAGAAGGCTCTCAAAGGTTCAGCTCCACAATCCTGGCTCTCCTAGAAGCCACAACCATCTCCTGCTGCCAATCCTCTTCACAAACGCCTGACAGATCACAGGTGGGATGTCAAAGCAGAGCAATGGCTCACTCGTGTGAAGACATGGAACACAGAATAACAGAGTTGGAAGGGATCTTGGAGGTCACCTAGTATAACCTGCTGCTTAAGCAGGGGTCCATTCCAGACAAGGGGCTGTCTAGTTTCTTTTTAAAAGCCTCCAGTGGTGAAGCACCCACAGCGTCTGAAGGCAAAAGCAGTTTCACTGGTTAATTGTTCTCACTGTTATGAAATCTGATTCTAAGTTGGTTCTCTCCTTGATAAGCTTCCACCTGTTGCTTCTTGTCTTGCCTTCTCCTCCTCTTTGTGGCAGCCTCTCAAATATTGGAAAGACTGTTATCGTATCACCCCTCATCCTTTTCTTCGTTAGACTAGGCATACCTAGTTCCTTCAACTGTTCATTGTACAATTTAACCTCTTTACTGCTCTTCTCACTCCTTCTAGAATCCCAGCATCTTTTTTGTAATTTTATGACCAGAACTAGAACCCCAATATTCCAAGTGTGGTCTTACTAGTGTAAAGCAATGCTATCACTTCACATGATGTTGATACTGACCCTTTGTTGATGCATCCTAGAACTATATTGGCATTTTGGGCAGCTGGCTCAAACTTAAGTGGTTATTCAATAGGACATCTATATCTCAATCACGGTGACTATTGCTGAGCCAGGGACGGCCTTTCCTATAGCTGTGCAATTGGTTTTTCCTGGCTATGTGCAGCATCTTACTTGCAACAGTGAACTACATCTTGTTGGACAGGGCCCAATGTTCCAGTCTGTCAAGGTGCTTCTGAATAAGAAGTCTATCTTCTAAAGTCTTGGTCTTTCCCTCTGAGAATTGGATGAGTTCCCCTCCCTTGCCTAAATTATTGTAAAGATGCTGAGGAGCCCAAGACATATAACCCCGGGATGCCCCACTGCACGCTTCCCTCTATGTAGAAGTAGTTCCATTGAGGACTCTACAGCCAACTGCGAATCCATCTGGTGCCATGCTGTCTATCCCACATTGTTGTATCTTATCAAGATGTAGGGTTATGTTAAGTGCAAGTGTATTACACCGATCCACTAATTTAGTCACTTTCTCAAAGAAGGCAATAAAATTTGTCTTGCACGATCTGTTTCTAACAATGCTGGCTTATAGGTTACTACTTTATTCATTTCTAGGTGTTCACAAATCTGCTGCTTGATGATCTTTTCCGGGATTTTCTCAGGGACTGAAGTCAGGCTAATCAGTCTCTAGTTTCCTGGGTTCCCTTTTTCCCCTCAGCAAGAGCCGCCCTTTTCCCAAGAGGCGAGGCGAGGCGAGGCTAGCCAGGGGAAAGTGAAACCAAACCCTTTGAATGGAAGGGACTGCAGATGTTATCACATTTCTGCCCCAAAGGCAGTGCCTGGGAGGAATCAGCAAAAAATCTGACATATATTCTATCCTATTATCATAGCTAGCAGGGGGAAGTTGAACCCCCAGGAAGGGGAAGGCTGTTCCACAAGCCACAGAGTAAACTAGGTGAGCCCCCCCTTGTACGTACTATAGTTACCCCAAAAAACTCCTGGAAAAGACAGCACCAAGTCCCTATGCGCCATCTCAGACATGCACCAGAGAGATTGCAGAGCCAAAGGAAGACACTGCTGTGACTCCCATTCACACATAACCAACATCTGTAGTGGGAAGAAGGAATCCCCTTGAGGAACAGGAGGAAAAGTCACAACTAAGACCATTGTCTGATAAAAGAGATGTGAGTCTGGGCCAGAACTGTAACCTGAGTTAGTGTCTCGGGTCCCCCCTAGTTCTCAGGAAGATAAGGATGTGCACAGGTGTCAGAGAGAGGGAGGGAGAGGGAGGGAGAAAGAGGGAGGGAGGGAGAG